TCAGAATTACACATGAGCTTAGAAATAGTAGAAAAAAACAATCTTTTGTTCTACCTTACACAGTGTCTCAGGTCCCTTCCTCAGGGCTATGAAGACCAAATAAGATGTCATATGAAAGTACCTAGTACAGTCCCTGACATATGTCCCTGACGTAAAGGAAGCACCACATAAAGGTAGCTATTATAAGCGAGTAACATTCCTTTTTCCAGACATTATTCCAAAGTCATCTTGTAAACATGTAATAGTCCTGTTTTATGGTGAGATCAAGAAAGCGAGTCTGGAGAAACTTGTTTGTCTCAAATATCTGTCACCTCTACCTTCAAAATATGTCCAGCAACTGACACTTTTTCACACCTCCAGGTTACCACCCTGGTTCACGTGACCATCTTCTAATGCCTACATTACAGCAAAAGCTTCCTAACAATCTTGCTTACCTCCCAGATCATGTCACTTCTCTGCTCAAAACCCTACAGTGGTTTCCCATCTCAGAGAAAAATCCTTACAGTGGCCTCCCAAGCCCTCCATAACCTGCTACCTCCTGACCATCTCCTCCTGCGCTCGCCCTCGCTCCCTCTGCTCCATCTGCTCCATCTACTCTGGCGTCCTTCTCCTGGTGTTCACCAGCATGAGCTCACGTCCAGGCCTTGGCCCTAGCTGTCCCCTGGCAGTATTCCTCTAGATAGTTGCATTGTTCCCTCCATAATATCCTGAAGTCTTTGCTCAAACACTACCTTTTCAGTGAAGATTTCCCTGACAACCACATTTGAAAGAGTGAGCCCTGCCTCTCACCAGCACCCTCTGCCCGCCTTTCCCTGCTTTATTTTTCCTCTGTAGCACTGACCACATTATCTGATATGCTATGTTTTACTTATTTATTTTGTCTCCCCCACTAGAATGTAAGCTCCAGGAGGGCAGGGGTTTTATTTTGTCTGCATTGTTCTCTGCAGTATCTATTCCCAGTATCTAAGACACTATATGGCACATAGTAGGTGCCCCATAAACATCTTTTTGGTGAATTATTAAATGGATAATTGACCAATATGTGCCAAGCTCTGGGTTAGGAGCTGGGGCAGGGGATGTTGGCATGAAGATCAATCAGTTGTGGTCCCCATCCTGGAGAAGCTTTTAGCCTGGTAGGGGAGACCAATACATAAACGGATCATATTGAGATGATGTGGTAAGTTGTTAGATTAAGCCAGGCAGAGAAGAGGCCCTGAGGACCAACCTAACCAATAGGGAAGGTCTCCTAAAGCAGGTACTCCCTCACATGTCAGCTGCTTGTTGCTGATGGTAGCTTAATTCATAGCAAGCATTGATCTATCTTTCAGTTTTTGTGTGTGTGTGTGTGAGGAAGACCAGCCCTGAGCTAACATTTGATGCCAATCCTCCTCTTTTTTGCTGAGGAAGATTGGCCCTGGGCTAACATCCGTTACTTCCTCTACTTTATATGGGGCGCCGCCACAGCATGGCTTGACAAGCGGTGCGTCCATGCCGCTCAGGATCCGAACCTGCAAACCCTGGGCCGCGGAAGCAGAGCACAAGCACTTAACCGCTGCACCACCAGGCCGGCCCCTTTCTTTGTTTTTAAGATGGCTTGGGATGAATAGGTCATTTAAAGAACAGTTAAACAAGAGTCCAGTCTCAGCTTTATCATCTGTACAGCACAGTACACCAACACTTTCCCTAGTTTTACGTCTGGAAGAGGAGGGAAGAAGGAAGCATACAATTTGTCATTTCTAAGCCCAGGGATTTTCAAGAGCATGAGGATCCCTTTAAAACACTTAAATGTACAGCTTTATAAAAGATGAAAAAAAGAAGTCAAACTATGTATCTTAAGAGCTGTGACATTTGAAGGGTAAACAAGCACTGGTTTTGAGTTATGAAACCCAGCTTTCCAGCTTGAGAACTTAAGTACATGGAAATCATTTCTTAATATGCTTGGCAGGACATGCAGTTAGTGAAACAGATCATGCACTAAACTAGAATTGCCGTTTGTTGACTCTGTGGTGGGGCTGGGGTCAACTAATGGGTTATTTCCATTTTCTTCCATGAAAATAATTTACCTGGGATCTCAGTAAATGGGTGTAATTTCCCAGGGGGCCAAATCAAATGAATGATATTGGAAGTATAAATCTGGGAATCAGTGATTTGAACTAAAGTTACCGGTGGTATAACAGCACGCTACACACTCCATTCTTCCACGCCACCCCCAGTGCATGAGCACTGTGTGACGGGTTATAGAATTACAAGTTCCTGGGATTGGTCAGCATCTCAGAGATTAACCGAGTAGTCCAACCTCCCCATTCAGTGCCAGAGTTTTAATGTCACATTAGGGTTTGTTTTTTTGTTGTTTTTAAATCACCCCAGTCCCACTTTTGGATAACATTGAGTTTGTGCTCCATAGAACCTCCAAGTTTTCCCCAATCTTCAGTCAAGCCAGCTTTCCCCCATTCTAAGTATGTCTTTCGGACTTTTCAGACCAAAAGACTTCAATATTCCTGCCTGTAGTGTCTCATCTAGTGGTTTTGGTCCTTTCTTCCAGTCCTCAAAGATAATTATTATTCACTGTATTAATTCTGTCCCTTAGGAATGAGATATGCTGCTGTATATTCTGACTCTGCCACTTACCACCTGTGTGGGCTCAGGTAACTTTCTTATCCTTTCTGAGCCTATTTATGCATAAAATGGAGGTTAATTCCAAACTTGCTATCATTAAAAGGATGAAATAGGGGCCGGCCCAGTGGCACAAGCAGTTAAGTGCGCGCACTCCGCTGCGGCGGCCTGGGGTTCACCAGTTTGGATCCTGGGCGTGCACCGACGCACCGCTTTTCAGGCCATGCTGTGGCGGCGTCCCACATAAAGTGGAGGAAGATGGGCATGGATGTTAGCCCAGGGCCAGTCTTCCTCAGCAAAAGGAGGATTGGCAGATGTTAGCTCAGGGCCGATCTTCCTCAAAAAAAAAAAAGGATGAACTAGAACACACACCTAGCATGTAGTAGGCATTCAAAAAATAGCTATTTTTCTTTCTTCATTCAAGTTTATTCAACAAGACAGGATTGCTTCTAGTATACTGAAGATGGCCCTTCAGATGTTTCAATAGTTATCTTTGTGGATAGTTTTCAATCAGCCATGAATTCACTTAACTGCAGTCATCCAGGCCGTGGACCTTCATGATAGAAGCTACTTCACTGCCTATTTTTGCTGAAATATATTTCTCCCATTTCAAAATCAGGGTATTTTTTCATCTTCAGTCTTGGCATCTGCTCAGTCTCCACAGGGTCTCAAAGATCATCTGTCTGCAATTATTTCAGTACTGAATCACAGGCTTGTTAATATTGCAACAAACCAGATCTTTAATAGAGTTGACATCCTAGTTGTGGAAAAATATGAATACTTAAGAGCAAGAAGTGGGAGTGGTATGAAGAATAAAGGGTAAGAGCTAGAGGGGGGCGGTGGTGGTTCTGTCTCAGAGCTGAGGGGAGACATTTGAGTAGGCACCAGGCACCAGGCACTGAAAGTAACATGGATATTGAACCTTTCCTGCAGGCAAACAGCAAGTATAAAAAGCCTGAACAAACTTCAAACAGTACGGATGTTAATGTGGCTAGAGCTAACAGAGCTTGAAACAGAATTATTCCCTCATACTCTGCATCAGAACTCACTTCTACCAACAGACTCTGATATTTGGAGAAAGGAATGGCCATTTTTTACCCACATTAAGATCTGCAATGGGCCGGCCCTGTGGCTTAGCGGTTAAGTGCACGCGCTCTGATGCTGGCGGCCCGGGTTCGGATCCCGGGGGCGACCCGAGGCACCGCTTCTCCGTTCAATGCGAGGCCGAGTCCCGCGTACAGCAACTAGAAGGATGTGAACCTATGACGTACAACTATCTACTGGGGCTTTGGGGGGAAAAAACTGAATAAATAAAATCTTTAAAAAAAAAAAAAAAAAGATCTGCAATACTCACAATTCTTAAGCTATCAAAAATATTTAAGTCCAAGGAGAAATAGCAACTCAAAGTTCCTACCCACTTCCAAGGGCTAAATTAGGAAGTGAGCTGCAATTTCTTTAGGAAGTACACTTTTGGATGTTGCCAGAAGCCAAAGAGCTAATGGTTCCTTCAGGAATTTAGTGAGCAGTTAACTGGCAACCCACTGGTTTACTAATCCCATTGTCTTCATTGACTTAACATAAGTGCATGCCCTCAGAATTTTATTTGCATAACTAGTACTCTTATTTTCTAAAAGACAAGGACATTGTTATAACCACAGTGGTATTTACACTTCATTTAAAATTTTGTCCCGTTTTTTCTAGGCTTTCTTTCCTTTTAATATGCTTCTTTTGGGAGAGATCACTTTTTGAGACCAGTCGCTTCCCTTACACCCACCAATTTTGGCATCTCCACACTTGCCAGAAACACATTACCATAGTACTTTGAGCAAATAGAGATCTTCCAATTCCAGCGTTCCTTCTACCACTCTAAGAGCTTATTCTTTGCAATTTTATCTGTATAAACTCATGTATTTTGATGGTTCAATTGCTCCAGTTTGGGACAGTAAGAGCACCACTGAGGTTCCTGTGTTAATATTTTCATTCTGTGGACACTTTCTTCCATAGCAAAGATGATCAAATTCATCTTTTGCTTTTCCAGCCTCAAGCTAGCACTCTTAGTTTTCAGGGGTGACTTCAGATACATAATTTACAGCAAAAATTGACCAAGTCACTTCAAATTCAGCCCCTCAATTTCTGCAAAATATATAGCCCATCCTTCAAGATCATGTTACTATTTCAACAGATGTAAGTATCATATTTTAAATACAAGGGCTAGTTTATTCCTCAGCACAAACTGCACTTTTAAGCCTAAGACATCCTGTAAAATACACACAAAAATGTTGACTATAATGTTCAACTAATGCCTTAGGGTCTTAATCACCGAGATGTTCTATTTTCCTTCCTTCATTCCATTAAATTGAAATAAGCACACTTGATCAGATATTTTATATAAAAATTTATTAAAATTGAAAGTTGTTTTAATCTTCTATCCCATAAGCATCCATCCAGCTGCCTGCAAAAACAAAGAAGCCATTTTAGTCATGTTTCCATATTTCAATTCTAATTCTATCTGAAGTACACAGAATATCAGATCTTTTATCATCATCAAGTAATCAGTGAGAGAGTTCAAGTTGGGGTGAGATCATCATGTATTCTGTAGTTAAGACAACAGCACTAATATTTTTAAGACTCACCTTTCAACTGGTAAGCTGCATAACTGCTGTCATAAATGCCCTAAAAGATTACATGTTACTCATGGTAAAAAAAAAACAAAATACAAAACTTGTTACTTGTTAGTCAAGTAACCTCAGAATCAAAAATGGAACGGTTTTATAAGTGATATCATTCTATTTCATTTGGCAGAATCATTACATCACAGGTTACATTCTAACTTATCATATATACCAAAGAGTGATTTACCTTAAAATCTTCAGAGTAACAGAAGGTCTGCCTATTTAAAGAGGGAAAAAAAGCCATTCATTTAAACACTGCCTACTTAATTCCCCCCATTTTTAACTTTTTGGAAAATAACATTCAGGGCAGTGAACCTGTTCTGTACAGTACAACAGTGGACACATGGCATTATACATTTGTCCAAACCCAGATAATGTACAACCAGGAGGGAACCCTAATATAAACTATAGACTTTGGGTGATAATGACATCTCAACGTAGGTTCATTGATTGGCACAAAAATCCCACTGTGGTGCTGGATGTTGATAGTGAGGCTGTGTGTGAAGAGGGGGTATATGGGAACTCTACTTTCTGCTCAATTTTGCTGTGACTCTAAACTGCTCTAAAACATGTTTATTAATCAAAAAAAAAAAATTACAAACAGCTAAATAACTCATTCTGGCATAATCTACAGATTAATGTATGTGCCATAAAAATTTCCTCACAAAAATATGCTAAACCTGTGCATCTCTAAATCTGAATTCTTAATCCTGAAATTAAAACAGCACAGAACATTTGTATGAGCCATTCAGTTGTCCAAACCTCCAAACATTTTCTGTGGGACAATAAATAGCTAATTTCCCTTTTCAAGGGTATTATAGGATTGTTGCAGCCAGATACATCAGATAGGAGCGAAAGACTTGACATTGCTCATCACCATGAGTCTGCTGAACTATGTTATCATCATTGTATCGGCTTTAAACCACTCCACGTAAGACCCAAACTTGGGACTACTATACCTTTGCTTAAAACTCCTTGTTCCATGACTTGTAGACAACCCAACTCTTCACACCTGCAGAAATTTAGTCCAGTTTAGTAATAGGTAGTAATAGCTACCTTTCTAAAACTTTCCAGGTACTGTTTCAGTTTTTAAAAATTAATCTTCATTCTTTTTCAGAGAGATTCCCATCTGTTATTTTCAAAAATCATCACTAACAGCATCTTGCTTAGTAACCATGTAAGATTAACAGAATACATACCTTTACATAAAAGGTGTCCAACATCTGTACCTAAAAAAGAAGTAATTCTTTAGATATACTTCATAATAGCTGAATATTAAAGCCTGTTTACTTCTCACAACTGTCCAGTGGCTTTGCAACACAGAAACATTAAGACAGCCAACAATTACTAAGACCAGCACATTTCAGAAACAATATAAACCTGAGTGCCGGGAGCCAAACAACCGTTTACATCTTACCCCAAACAAGCCATCCATGGATAAAAAGCATGTATGCAGCAGCTAGAAGAGAAACGAGATCTTTCATTAAAATGCTAAATATCATTAAATTTTTCTCATGATTATTTGTCACAGGGTTCTTCAGTGTTAAATTTGTCTACATGCTCATTTCAGGTCAGACATTTGATCAACATCATTACAAAAACCCCATTCAGAGCATGCTCAACATGCATTCACTAAACATAGGAGGTAAGTCATAATTAGTAGCTTGGTAGCTAAGCATTCCAACTTGATCAGCGTTCTCACTAACACTTAAGCCTACTAAAATGTTTTCAACATTAACACTTACCAAAAAAAAAATAAAGCCTCCATCCAGACATGTCAAAGACTCAAGTCCACCTAAAAAATAAAAGTGGTTTTATAATAGCCAAACATAAATTTTCTCCCCACAAATCTGAAAAATGCCTGAAATCAGGTAGAGCTAATTAAGACCTTCATGTTCAGTCAGTATTTGCTTATCATCATACAGGCTGCTTTTACAAATTATGACAGCACCTTAAGAACAGTAACAGGACAAAGACCCGGCATTTCTTTAATGCCTTTAAGCACACCGTTCAAGCGCTTCATGGTATGAGTGTTTCCTGTGCATTAGAAGGCAACACTCAAGAGCCACTTTGTGTCACTTTGCCCTGTTACCGATGTTTAGTTTGATTATAATTTTACTTACCACTTTAACTTCCAGCTAATTCTGTTTAATGTCTGCAAAAAAAAGAAAAAGCTAGTATTAGTAGTAGTACTCTGCACCTACGCTATTAACAGCAAATCAGTTTTACTATAAAAATCCCAGCCAGATACATCAGACAAATGGTTTATCTCTTCACGATTCCATCTGCTGAACTATGCAACCATCATAGTATCTGTTTCTTCAGGTTTCCCTCAGCATTACATATAAAATATGGAGTGCAGAAGTTCAGATTTGAAAAAGGGAGGAAAACCCTAATGCAAGCATCAGCACTCATCTGGCCATCTGTAATCTCTTAAAAAAGAACTGCAAAGTACCGGGTAAATAGGAACTATAGAAGAGCTTCTCACCTGCCTGCCCATGGCTAGTGTGTGAAGCTTGTGCTTTAGGACCTGGGAAGAAAACAGCTTCATGTGAATTCAGGTGCAATCTCAGTGTTCTCCAAATCACCATTCTGTGTGCCTCAGTTAGGATAACGGTGGTTTAATTCTCGTCATTCTTACAGTCAAGAGTAGCAAATAAAATGTCATCATTGTGGCACATTCAGGACTTTCACTTAACTTCCCTTTGTGGGGGAATTCAAGTAACTTACCCCAGCAGGTGTTGTCATCCCTTTGGCACAGACCTAGAAAACAATTATCTAATGAAACATGCTGTTAGCCATGTTCAACATTAATGTCTTAAGTATTTAAGCCTCAGAAGACAGTTTTTCAGAAATCCCTTCTGTCCACTACTCTTAAACCATCACCGGCTTAACATAAAGACCACCTCTAAGCAGATTTCATTCTTCCCACTGTTATTTATGCGTTTCTTACCTGTCCATCAAACGCCATCAAAAGCCACATTGTATTCGTGCCTCGCACCATTCCTAGGTTAAACATTAGAGACACCTTTATTCTCATTGTGTCGTTTTTGTATTATATATGCAAGTAGTTTATACCACCCATAATGTCATGACTGTAAAAGGTGCACTTAACATGTTGTCATAAAAGAGCACTGCACAAAGGTAAGGTTAAGAACCACTGACAGCAATGATGGTGCGCTGCGGAATGCAGTTATTTAGAGAACCACGTGGTCTCCCCCATCCACCGGCCTTCCTGAGAGCAAGCGGCCCAAATCATTAAGCTAAAGGCCCACTCGGGTGACTCGGCATGCACTGCCATCAGAGCCGTTGGCATTCATCAACGGTCTCAGATGTCCCTACCAACACAGGCTTCATCAGAGGCAGGGCACGCGAGCCGAGGTTTTTCCGCATTTCCGCCCCAACCACCCCAGCAGAGTTTAGGTCGCACCACCACCCAACCCGCAATCCTACGCCATCTTCGTCTGTGAGCCCTGCCAAGGCTTGCGACTAGCCCACAAATGCCACCCAGTTTAAGGTGCCTTGACAGCCAAGGGCTGGAAGCCTCGAACCAAGAACCCATTTAGCAACCACAAAATGAACACGCACATACCAACCGCCAACTCCCAGCCTCAAAAGACCGAGATGGCGTCCAGGCTCCTGTATATAAAGACTCTTTTCCACTACGTCATGACGCACTCCCCCTGCTGGCGTCTGCTTCAGCTCCGCCCCCTCCCCCAGCCACACCTCCTTCCCGGCTTCTAAGCCCGCCCCTGGGCCCCGCCCTCACCTCGCCATTGTGGGCGGGGACACGATCACCCGCGTGACGCAGGGCTCCCGCCCTCCTACG